AGTAGGTGTGGTGAGGGTAAGGTAGAAATAGGTGAAGTGGAAAGACCTCTACCTGAGTCCCCAGAGAGAGCTGCTGTCAGTCTGTATAATCATTACTGACCTTGATAGACCAATGGTCTGATTTGGTAGAAGGTTCATGGTGGTGAGTGCTGAGACTTGGCTCCTACAAGGTCGAGCTAAATCTAAACTACTGCCTCCCCTCCCCATAACGCTGAATTTCATAATGATGATTCTCCACTAATGAAATGTGATCTGTGGCTGGGTGGGTGGCAGAGCAGAGACTGAGCAGGATAGAGGGAATAATGTGTTGATGAGACATCCCCCCCTCCCATCTTTATAGTATGATCTTCTTGTACATTTGCACTGGAATGCAGAAAAGTTTCATTCCCAACCCACACCTCTCAATCTACAGACCTGTGCATGCCTACAGGATTCCATGTGAGTATCAGGAACCCTGAGCAGAAAGAGGCTGAAAATCCCAATGATCATCCATCTGCCCAGTATTCTGTTCATTGCTTTCCGAGTCTGAGGTTGTCCGATTCCCATCAATCAGTCTGGAAGAACATCAGTGTCAGATGCCTTATATAAATTAACCTCCACTGGCTCACTAACAATCATGTGCATGTTGTTTTATTGGAAAGTATGCTCAGTTTCTATGGCCCAGCTAATGGATAAGGACAAGCAAGAATGGAAGCACAATAGTTTATTATGACAATACAATCCACTGTGGATCTTGAATGTTTTCACTACAGGCAGCAGAAGCATCACCACAGGAGCCGCTTGAGTACACCCTGGTTGGAAGCAGATGGATGAAGAGGACGTCCTCTGAGTTTCTGAAGATCTCACCTAAAGAAAGGAAATAGCCATGTTTTCCACTTGAACGGAGATTGCATCTTCACTCCCTTGGGCAATAATACCTCCCAAAAACTCAGACCTATGATTTTTATTATATGCTGGCAATTTAAGCAAACACTCTCTTGTTTCCAAAAACATCCCTGCTTTGTTGCTGCGTTGCGTATACATCTGTTCCACCACAGGCAACTAGAAAAAAGCTTGGTGTTACAGGCAGACCTCTGCATTCTTATGGTAGACTCAAGTATGTGAGAGCCATGGACCAGAAGAACCAAGGTACTTGCACCTAAACCGGGTTAGCACCAAATGAGATCCACTGCATGCAGATTCCCGGCTTGCAGTTTTGCTCTGGGGGGCAGAGCCTGGAACACAGGCACATTCTGGTGGTGGTGGGGACACAACCACAGGACCTCCTTTGCTCCGCACAAGGTGGTTTGGTGGACTTCAAAATGAATCTTCTGCTGTCCCTCATTCTGTTCTCTCTGGCCCCGGCCACACGGAAGGTTTTGGCCCAGGAGATTATGGCTCTGAAATTCAGTGGGCACATGAATTGCTTGTGATGCTCGAGGGTGCCATCGCACCCACCATTGTCTTTCATGGTGCCCCCACTCGCTTTTCCCCTAAAGCATCTCTTCTTCAAGCAAAGAGTCAATCCTGGCTTTCCTCTGCCTCATTGGATACTTCAGAAGAGCAAAAGAGGGCTCTGACCTGGCTAGCCCAATCTTATCTGATTTGGAAACCCCTGGATCAGTGGGAAGAGCCGGCTTGATGTTCCATGTACTCACAGCGGACACTCGACCCTCTCCGTGGAGGCCGAAACTACAGATTTATCCACTTGGAACACCCAGCGCCCTGGCATCCCCACATTGGTGGTCTTCCCAATATTGATGATATCAGGGGTTCGGGAAGAAGGGATGGCGTAGTAATTTCTTTTGTCTCCACTGTCAAATCCAGCCTGTGGGTAGAAACGAAAGGGGAAACTCATGTTATTATCCATTCCAATGGGATAGGAACTCCTCTGGCTGGAGCTGTTTGTGCTGCACAGCAGTCTATGTACATTGCAAAATCTTCTCTCTGTAATCCTGAGGAGGAAGCTTACACATTGTTTGTCCTGCCATGGCAGTGAAGAACTTGGCTTCAGCAATAGAACAGGATCATGCGTCACCCTCTGGTTCTTAGGGTGAAGTGGCCTATAGCTACCCATATTTCTCTGAAGGAAGGCATGATTTAGTTACTGTTTGTCCTTGCTTCCCAACTTTCCTAGTACCCAGAAGAACTACCTGTGCTGGGGTTCCACCAAGGCCTGTGGTATCACGCCCACCACTTGCTGTCCCCGTGGTCCACTGGATGCTACCGTAATTCAACATGATGAAGGAGATTCGCCTGTTGGTGGTCAAGACAGCCTGGAAGGTGTTGACCTAGAGCAAGAAGGGAATAGAGAGATGGCTCTTATGTAGCTTACAAAAGAACAAGAGTCACATTTTATCCGTTAATTCATCAACAGTCAGGACTGAAAGAAGGAAATGCTTCTTTACCCAAGGAGCTACTAACCACCCAGCAGTTCGAAAGCCAAGTAACTATCTATTGGCGAGTAGATAAATGGGTACCCACCCTTAGTAGGGTGGAGGGCACCCTCCTCCGTCTACGGAGGTGTGTGGAGAAGCAGTGGCACTGGCAGCAATGGCGGCGATAGCGATGGTGAGAACAGCGGCGGCAGCGGAGCAACGGCGGTGGCGATTGGAGGAGGCGGCGCAACGCTGAGAGGCGGCAAGCGGCGGCGAGCAGAGCCTGGCTGATCCCTGGTGGCCAGCAGTGAAAGAACAAGGCGGCTGCCATCGACGGAGGCTGAGTGACGTCATCCGGAGGCGCGCGGATCCGAAAAGGACATGGTCGGGCTGAGGACGACGTCGCCGGCGTTCCTTACACACACCCCCCGTCTGCCTGAGCACCGGACATCGTGCAGCCAGAAGAAGCCGAGCCGAGGAATGCTTTCACCAGGGTGTTGGTAGGGAATTCCCCCCCCCTTGTACCAATGTGTGGCCGTAGTTAGGGTCGATATAGGTGATTAGCACCCAAGAACTGTAAACCGCCCAGAGACCCCTACGGGGGTTAGGGCGGTATATCAAGCCGAAGGATAAATAAAATAAATAAATAAATATGGAAATCACTGCCAGAAGATGTAGTGGCCAAGAGCATAGATGGCTTCCAAAAGGGATTAGACAGATTCATGAAGGAAAGGTTCCTCAGTAGCTACTAGCCATGATGGCTAAAGGGAACCTCTATATATAGAAGCAGTAAACCTCTGAATACCAGTGCCAGGAGGCAACATCAAGGCTTCTATGCCCTGTTTTGGCCCTCCAGGACAACTATCTGGTTATTGTATGACACAGTACGCTGGACAAGATGATCCAGCAGGACTCTTTTTAGGTTCTTAGCAGTCTTTGGCATGATACAAGGTAGGGAAGGATCACATGAGGTTCTGGAACCTCTTTAACAAAATTCTTTTAAAAATGTTTAAAAGTTCATGAGTGTTCAGTATACAGATTGAAAACTTCATTTCCCTCTTGAGAGTTTCAGCACTTCTTTTTTTTAAAAGAGCCCTGATATTATGTATTTCATTGTTTCCACATACTAGCTATAACGTTTAATATACCCAAGCTTAAATGAAAGTCTATTATATGTCTCACATATAAGATAAACAATAACATTTTTTGTTCAAATCTGTATGCATAGTAATACATTTATACACATTTTTAAAAACTATTTCTCATTCTATATGGGTCTCCTGCTTGCATAATAAACACTCCTTCTGTCCTCAAATTTTGAAATTGACCTGCTTCTCAAATAGGTTGTTAATTTCACCAATCCTGCATAATCAGCAAGTTTATTTTCCCATTCTTCTAAGCTTGGACAAATGTCTGATTTCCATTTTGCTGCACAGAGGATTCTCCCCAGGAGCCACATTTCATGGAGCCCTTTGAGGTGCAGCAAGATGAGGGAGCTGAGAAAGTCCCATTCTGCTGATCAGGGCTGGTGCCAGCATACTCAGAGAAGGGGCATCTGCCAGGGCCCAGAGCTTCTGGGAGGGCCCACTGCTGCTGAACAGGTTGTGGGCTGTGCAGGGGGCTGTGTGGGCATTGATGGTGGGAGGTTTTATAAGCAGGCAGGGGAAGGACACACAAGCAGGTGGGAAGTATGAGGGTGGGTGAGAGGGAAGGAGGTCACGAGTGGGGGTCTGGTGATGGGCAGAGGAGGGGAAGAGGGCAACAAGACCTCTCTGCCTGCCCTCCCCAAACCTGGAACCAGCACTGCTGCTGGAGATCCTTTCCACTGGGTCCAGGCCAGGATCTACAAACCCAGGACAGCCCTCCTGTGACAAAGAGCAACGCAGACTGAAAAACAAAGCTTAATTTGAGAGAAGATTCTCTCTGGGATGTGTTTTCAATGCCAGGGTTCAGTTCTGGAACACGACAAGAAGAAGAGGAAGAGCAGGAGGAGGAGGAGATTGGTAGGTGGGGCTGAGAGAGCTCTTTCGAGAAACTGCTTGTGAGAGAACAGCTCTGAAAGAACTTGTAACTGACCCAAGGTCACACCAGCAGCTGCATGTGAAGGAGTGGGGAATCAAACCCAGTTCTCCCAGATTAGAGTCCGCGCTCCTACCACTACACCAAACAACAAAGACTCACAAGCCTTCTTTATGGGTCTGTTCTCCTTAGGACTGTAATAAAAACACAATTTTTTGCCCTCTACCAATCTTTGATAGAGATCATTGGCTTTGTTACACCCTCCTGGCATATGGACACTGTGAATTTAAGCAAAGGGAAACAGACTGAAGGTTTTTTTAAAATGGATTTATTGTGATCTCACTGAATGAAAGGGTATAAAAGAAATGAGTCTACCTAAGTCTAAACTGTCTCAACTACCTAGCAGCTAAACTAGCTACAAGAGCAAGGGTTAAGCTTACCCCTCTGTGAGTAGGCTTTTAGCAGGTTCAGAGAACCAGGAGGGGCATACCTTTGGGCCCATGAGAGTCCATCAAATTCTCATCTAGGCAAAAGGCTGGTTGCTCTTACCCAAACATTCTCCAGACTGGTAACATCGGGGTTATTTATGACAGAGATAATATCTTTTATTTTAAGCAATCTCCACGAGGAGAAGCTCTGGTTAATAACATATGGAAACATCCTGGAGCTGTGCTCCTGTTTGTCCAAAGTAATGGTGTGTTGCTGGAGGGGATGGAAGGAGCTTCGGTTTAAATTGTATGTTAGTGTTTTAGGCACCAAAAGGTGGATATCAAACAAATATCAAACAAAACTCAGGGCTAATTTTGGGCAGGAACGCACAGGAACGGAGTTCCGGCTGGCTCCTGAGTTGGCCACGCCCAGCAGGAACTCATAATAGGCCACACCTAACAGCAGAAAGTCATTAGGATTGGCTACATTAGGGGTGTGTGGCCTAACATGCAAAGAAGTTCCTGCTACCAAAAAAGCCCTGGGTTCTGACTACAAAGTAAACAGAATAAGAAGCAAAAGGAGGGTGTGGTTGGATGACCACACTTCTGGTAACATGTGGGGTGTGGCCTAATATGTGAATGAGCTGCACTGTCAGGGGTGTGGCCTAATATGCTAATATGTTTCTGCTGTTGGGTGTGGCCTATTATGCTAATGAGTTCCTGCTGGGCTTTTTCTACAAAAAAAACCCCTGAGTGTACTAGAGATTCTGCAGGTGCCCTATAAATGTTTTCCTGGCTATAGAGGAGCTACATCCATAAGAGCTTCCCACGAGGCTTGGTGGTGGAATGTGCCGTCAAACCACAATTGGCTCATGGCAAACCCGTAGAATTTTCAAAGTGATCAGAGGTGGTTTGCCATTGCCTGCCTCTGCAGAGTAACCATGGAGTTCCCTGGAGTTCTCCCATCCAAGTATTAACCAGGATTGACCCTGATTAGCTTAAAGGCTAGCCTGGGCTAGGTTTTCCAGGTCTGACTCAGGAAATATCTGGGGACTTTGGGGGTGGAGCATGGAGACTTTGGGGGTGGAGCCAGGAGCAAGGATGTGACATCACTCTGGGAGAGGGGAGGGAAGAAGCCTGATTGAACTCCAAAGGGAGTTCTGGCCATCACATTTAAAAGGACAGCATTCCTTTTAAATGCCTTCCCTCCATTGGAAATAATGAAGGATGGGGACACCTTCTTTTGGGGCTCATAGAATTGGACCCTTCGAAACGGGGGGGGGGGGGTTGAAGAGAGGCACCAGACGCTATGCTGAAGATTTGGCGCCTCTACCTCAAAAACAGCCCCCAAGCCCCAGATACCCATGGATTGATTCTCCATTATACCCTATGGGGACTGGTCTCCATAGGGTATAATGGAGCACCCAGTGGACATCCCCCCCACCCACTTTCTGATCACCCTGAAGTGGGGGGAGGGCCTCCAAACCAGGGGTCCCCTGCCCCCAACTGGGGATTGGCAACCCAGGTCTGGGCCATCCAGGTCAGGGTCATATTAGCCTTAGGGAACATTTAAAAGTTCAGCAATGCAAGCAAGAGTGGCCATGTGCATTTGGTCCCATGGAATCAGTACCATCTCTGGTGTACCATTTCCATAAGAAAGACCTAGAATCTGAACATCTACCCAGGCGATTGGGTCATTTCAGCCTTCTCAAGGGAGCTGCTTATAGGTCAATAGCTGCCATACATCTGGGAGAACATATATAGCATACCACAGGATACCAATCAAGAAGAGGACTACCTTGCTTGAAGTAGACCCATAATAGGCCACTCGGTCCCAGGTAGCAACGAAGGCCCAGACAGCCGTGAACGGGACCCCAGGAAAGTACCGATTGATGTCTTCGGTGCACTGCCTAAGCAAGCTGGGATCCTGAGATTGCCTCCAGAAAACATCCCCACCTTTCACATTGTTAACATCTGCCCAATATGGAGCCACAAAGGGTGACCCACCATCTAGTGGGAAAGGGTTGGGTGTGAACTGTGAGACTCTCACTCCAAATGAGACCACACCATTGTTGTTTACCTGCAGGAAAGGGGTCAGAGGGAAAAGCAAATGGTGTTAGTGACAGGTAAATAGTTCACTAGAAGAGTTACAAATCAGCTACACAAGGAAGAGGTGTCATCAAAGAAGGCAAGCATATGAGAGTGAAGCGGTCAAACGCACCCTATCCTCTATGGCTGTAAACAACAAACCACACATGTATTACAGCCTCTGCCTTGGGCCCCAGCATTGCCAGCTCTGTGTTGGGAAATACCTGGAGACTCTGGGGATGGAACCTGAGGAGGGCGGGGCTTGGGGAGGGATTTCAATAGAATATAATGCCATAGAGAGTCCACCTCCCGAAGAGGCCATTTTCTCCAGGTGAACTAATCTCTCTTTCTTAGAGATGAGTTGTAATCCCAGGAGATCTCCAGCCACCACCTGGAGGTAGGGCTGCCAAATGTGGGCGGGGGGCAGGGAATCCCGTTTTGAAGCCCCGATTTCCGACGCGGCGGAATCAGGCCCTGGGGGAACCCCGCCCCCAGCGTGCGCGTCACTAGCAAGTGACGTAGGCACGCCGGGCACGCTGGGGGCGGGGTCACGGCCATACAAGGGAAAACTCTATGGTTTTCCCTTGTATGGCCGTGGCCCCGCCCCCAGCGTGCCCAGCGTGCCTACGTCACTTCCGGGTTACGAGCACACACACACATACACCCGACGCCGGCCGGGAGCCCCTCGCTCCCAGCGAAGACGGATTTGGCAACTCTACCTGGAGGTTGGAAAAGCTACTGGGGCCACATAAACGTAGTTCCAACAAGAACCTGCCTTGGCCAGGATATGAAATAGTTAGAAAATGAGCTGAACAATCCTGGTTTATATAACAGTAGGCAGAGGAATTTTAGGATTTGGTTTAGTAAGGTCCTGGAAATGTGGAACAAGGGAGAAAAAAACAGTATTCTGTAGGGTCTCACCTCAGGGGTGGACTGGCCCTTTAACACCTGGAAATGTTCCTGGGCACGGGCCAGTGGCCTGATGGAAGCTAGAAGCCTACTGGGCTAAGGGATCCCCTAAACTAATGTCAGTTACACAGGAGCCAACTAGGTGAGTTTGTTCCAGGGTTGTTTTAACATCCCAGTCCATCTCCGCTACAGACTTAAGCTGGTTTATCAGCAACTTTCATTTTTGAGATGACCTCGCCAAGGATAGTTCTCTTTATGATGGAGCAGTTGGGATTCCTAACAAAAACACTGCCAGCATCTCACTCAGTGATAGCTCGCTGGGAGTCTTTCCCCCCCCCTTCATTTAAAATTTTCTTTTTTATTTATGTCAACAATCAATATACAAATAAATCAAACATATGAACAATATCAACAAGTCAAAATTTACATAAACGTCATCAAAAATTGGAAAAAATACAATCCTTTCAAGTGTGAATGAGGTACAAAGCTGGGAGTCTTTGAGGGACGGTCAAGTGGTCACAAAACCAAAAAACGTTTGCAGTGAAGGTGTGACTTGGCTTCCTGACTTTATTCATTTGGACTGAGGACAAATGGCTGAGTGTCCCACCGTTACTTCTACTGCAGTTATGCTTGCCTTTTTCACCCTCCATGGTGGGTAACCCCCCACCCTCAAGAAATTGAGGAGTGGGAAGAAAAAATGGTGGGCAAATGGCTTCCATAATGATGTTCTCGGAATTTCCCCTTGACTCTATGGTCTTAACCATTCCCCCTCCCCCCACAATTCCACCCTCCCCAGGCCCTGCCCTCAAAATCTTCTGGCATTTCCCAAGGCTGTGAAGGCAACCTACTATGGTTCCCTTTGACTTCATTCACAGGGTGGGTGGGTGGGAAAAAAGGTTACAATTTTCGAATATGTAAGACTGAGAAAAGGAGTCATGAGGCCTTGGTCTCAAGAAAAAATTATAAAAATGTACTCTCCTTTTATTAAATTGTTTGATGGTACCTTGTATTTGCATTTTTTGTATAACATTTTTTCTAAAAAAAAGAATAGAGATTATAACATACTCATAAAGCAAGTTGTGGCCTTTTTGGAACAGAAAATCAACACGTGGTTAAAACCAGGGCTATTTTTGGGCAGGAACAGCGTTCCGGCTGGCTCCCGAGTTGGCCACGCCCAGCAGGAACTCATTAGCAAAGTAGGCCACACCCAACAGCAGAAATGCATTAGGATTGGCTACATTAGGGGTGTGTGGCCTAACATGCAAAGGAGTTCCTGCTACAAAAAAAGCCCTGGTTTTGACCACAAACAAGGTCAACAGAATAAGAAGCAAAAGGTGGGCGTGGCTGGATGACCACACTTTTGGTAACATGGGTGTGTGGCCTAATATGCTAATGAGTGGTGCAGTCAGGGTGTGGCCTAATATGCTAAAGAGTTTCTGCTGTTGGGTGTGGCCTATTATGCTAATGAGTTCCTGCTGGGCTTTTTCTACAAAAAAAGCCCTGGTTAAAACCTAGTCATCCCACCCAACTAAATGACAACCCATCTTGCCTCTTTCAAAGGCTATATACAGATCAAGATTTGGGAAAGGAACATGAAAGGAGGGGGTTCATTCTGGCCAGAAATTACATACATAGAGAGAGCGGTATGGCTTGCCATAAAAGGTGAAAGGAGCTGAAATGGTGATCTCTGCAGAAGATCCATCATCTGACTTTTCGTTCATTCTGTCACCTTGAGATGTCCCATATGGATACATCAAGGATCCTAAAATCAGGAGAAAGCACCTTGATTAGATTTATTGCAGCTATTTTTTTACAAGAGAGCCATTTTGGTGAAGGAGGCTGCAATCCTAATAACATATTTCAATGGGTAAGCACCATTGAATCAAACAGGACTTACTTCTGAGTAGACCTGCTCAGGATTGTTCCCTGAATAAAGTATATCTGCATGAAATCATTTCTGACTGCTGTCCTCCCTTCTTTCTCCTCATTGATGGAAAACCCATGATTCTTTTAAGATGCTCTTTTCAAGAAGGAATTCATATCAACACATCCCCACCTCTAGACTCTTACCATTCCTACAACCATTTAGAGAATTTTTGCTTCTGAGGCTCTCCCAGTCCTCAGAGAGGAGTTTCAGGAAACAGCAGATGGCTTGGAGGAGGTGGGGAAAGATCCCCTTCATCAACTCCTTCTGTGAGCTTTTCTGCTGGATCCTTATATTCAACTTCTTTGATCCCAAAATTTCCACAAAGCACCTCTTTTTATTTCTTTGAAAGTATGGTCACCATCCAGCAATGGTTTCACCAAAGACAAAGGTAGAATGAATACAACATTAATTAATTAATTATCATATGGCATTGTGTGTAGAATAACCAAGAGATCCTAAGATCGTCTGGCAGCCAAACGTTCTAGCTCCTTTAGCATTATGTACCACCTGGTGGTGAGCTAGACTTGTTTTTAAGGCAAGAGACTTTTCAGAGGTGGTTTGCCATTGCCTGCCTCTGTGTCACAACCCTGGTATTCCTGGGAGGCCGCCCTTCCAAATACTAGCCAAGGCTGACCCTGCTTAGCTTCCGAAATCTGACAAGATCACTCTAGCCTGGGCTATCCAGGTCAGGGCAAAATGAATACGATTTGTACCCATTGGGGTGAATCTCACAATCCTCCAAGTAGTGCTCCCCCAATTTAAGTGGCTCTTCCTCCAATGGAAGAGCCATTTAATTTGGAGGAAGCCTCCTTGAATTGGAAGAAGCCTTAAAACTTGAGCCAAAAGGAAAGGTGGGGTATACATATATTTTGTTAAAATATATGTAATTCTTTTCCCCAGTGGAGTGGATGTATAGGGGAAGGATTCACTCACAATTACGGTATATCGCTGTATGAAAACTCAAGAATTCGAGTGGTTTTTGTTTTGCCGTAGCATTACCTTGTACTGGAGGTTTAGACACAACTCAGTTGCTACCAGAAGCCTTAAATCTTGCCCTGGATTAATTTTCTACATGATACAAACTCCCCCCTCTCATATAAGCATGACTCCATTATTCTTTCCACTAGAATTCAGACCTTGACATAACAGCATCATACCTGTTGGATTCTGGATAGAAGTCAGTGTTGAACCTAAAAAACATGGTAATAAAAAGAATATCAAGCCTAACAACAGATTAAAAGGCATGTACATGCTTTAGTTATAATTGTGCATGCTTATCTGGAAGACTATGAATGTGTTTGGGAGAGGTACCTCCCCCCCCCCCCCCGGGATTCTCTTTTTTTTTTTCG